GAAACGTCAGCCTTCCTGCTCCTCTGATGCTGCTTGGCCTGCTGTGTTCATCCAGCTCTACACCTTATTATCTCAGATTCTCCAGCATCTGCAGTTCCTACTATCTCTGATGCATTTGTAAAGGATCTACTTGCTGTGTGTTTAAAGAAAACCTCTGTTTTTTCCTTCTGTTCCCAGCATGGTAGAAAATGCACTTTTGGTTGAAATGGGCATGTGACTACTCCCATAGTGGGGCTTAGTAGGTTAGTTAATGTCTCTGTGTCCTCTTGTCAACTGATATTCAAATATAATAACAGATAAAATGACATGGAAAATTTCAAGTTATCTAGTGCAATGCCCAATCACGGTGGGAGTGCTTTTGGCCACTGTTTTATGCATTCATGAAAAGAACTGTTAAGAGATTTGGGTAGATTGTGTTTAAGGCAAGGCTAGATAAATTTTTGAACAGTAAAGGAATTAAGGGTTATGGTGTGCGGACGGGTAAGTGGAGCTGAGTCTCAAAAAGATCAGCCATGATCTTACTAAATGGCGGGGCAGGCTCGAGGGACCGGGTCGCCTACTCCTGCTCCTAGTTCTTATGTTCTTATAAGGTACTCAGATAAAGACAATATCAAAGAAATACAACATAGCGCTTGCTGCTGGCGAGGGATTCGGCAGGAATCTCTCCTAGCTTTTCCACCTCTATCTTGTTTTTCTTTTGGCTAATCCATGGTCATGCCTCTTTAAAAACAAAATTGTGTTGTCTGAAAGACTATGATAATCTTGGAAGCTTTGGCAGTACTGTATTATTTGATGCTCCCCAGCTGGTTCAGGGATCTAATGTGCTCCTTTATGTGTCTTACTACATTGTGTTCAATAATAAAAGTTATTTTAACTTTGTTGTACCAGTTCTGGGTGTTGCTCTCTTTTGGCTGTCTTAGTGAAAGGAAGAGCCAATGTTGAAGAGGGCAATGTGAGCCTCCTACTAACTGTTCACCCACTCTGATTTCTCTGACAAAATATTTTGACATGGTGAATTACGTCAAACAAGGTTCAGTAATTGTTTAGGATTGAGCACTAACTGGTACAATTTTCATTTGATGGTTACAAACAGGTTAGAATCAAAATATTTGCATTTTATGCAATTTGCTGTGTGCAGCTCCTAGGGCCATATGGACACCAACCTTACATACCTCTCTAATTTTGTTGGAGGAAGTCTGATCTTGAAAATAGCATTTGTTTATTGTATCAGCGAAATATGAATTGATTAGTAAGGCTAATGTCCCCAGTGGCAGCTTGGAATGAATCATGTGTATAAAGATTCAGAAAAATGATGATTTTTGATGGTGATTGACAATGCTTTGCTGCAGTGTTGGGTGACTGTAAACAGATTCCAAGTTGTGGACTAACTGCCAGTGCCTTTCCTGATGAAGCAAAGCATAGGAGAGCTTTTTCTTTCAAACACCTTTGTTTCATTAGTAGAGATTTATATTGTCCTACTCAATTCTTTTATTGTGTTCCTCCAAAAAAACTCGAACTTTTAAATAACAGAAGGTGGGCTCAATGGCCTCTTTCTGTGCCGTAACGCCCAAACATAGGGAGAGCAAAGCTCCAGCCAGATGTACTGTCACCCAGTTTTGAAACCCACAAGTGCTGGTTCTACTCCATTGCCACCACAGGATGATGACCAGAGAACTCCCCCTTTAATTTCCAGTCAGAATTACTGTAATGATCAAGTACAGGAAGCTAAAATAATGATTCCTTTCCCAGTCAGTGGGATGTCGAGGGCAGCCGTAGCATCCTAACAAATGAACATGCAGTGGAGTGGCAGTGACTTTAACATTGATAGTGCAGGATGGAATAAGCGTGATAGCTAGAAACAATCTTGGATCGGAAGATGTAGTATCCATGTGCATGGAGTTAAGAAATATCAAGGAGAAGAATAGTTTACAGACAATTTAACAGTAGGACTGAGAATAAATTAGCGGATAATGTAAAAAAAGGCAATACATTAATCATGGGTGACTTTAATCTTCACACAAATTGGATAGTCGGATCGACAGAGGTAGCTACAAGGAAAAATTTTTAGAGTGGTATAGTTATCTAGAACAACATGGGGGGAGGCAATGACCTAGTGGTATTATCGCTGGACTGTTAATCCAGAGACCCAGATAATGTTTCTGGGGACAAGGGTTCGAATCCCGCCACAGCAGATGGTGGAATTTGAATTCAATAAATATCTGGAATTAAGAATCTAATGATGATCCTGAATCCATTGTCGATTGTCGGAAAAGCCCATCTGGTTCACTAATGTCCTTTAGGGAAGAAAACTGCATCCTTACTTGGTCTGGCCTACATGTGACTCCAGACACACAGCAATGTGGTTGACTTTTAACTGTCCTCTGGGCAATTAGGGATGGGCAATAAATACTGCCGAGCCAGCAACACCATCATCCCATGAATGAATATTAAAAAAAATGTTGCGGTTCCAAGCAGGGATCAGGCTATTTTGAATATGGTAATGTGTAACAAGGCAGGCTAGATAAATGATGTCAGAGTAGAAGATCCCATTAGGAAACAGTGACCATAACATGGTAGAATTGAGGATTCAGTTGAGAGGGAAGAACTTGAATCAGAAACAACTGTGCTAAGTTGAAATGAGTAATTACAAAGGAGGGCAGAGCTAGCTGGAGTAGACTGGTAAAGGGATTTAACAGCAAAGATGTTTGAGGAACAGTAGCAGACATTTAAGAAAATAGTTTATGACTCACAACAAAGATACATCCTAGTGAGAAATAAGGATTTTAGGATGGGGATAAGCCGACCATGGTTAACAAGAGGATTATAACTAGCAACAAATTGAAAGAAAAAACCCTACAATGTGGCAAAGATTAGAGGTAAACCAGAGGTTAGGGAAAATTTTAAAACCAACAAAGGATGGCCAAAAAAAAGAGGGAGAAGATAAATATTGAGGGTAAATTTGCAAATAATTTCAAGATAAAGAGCAAGAGCTTCTTTAAATAAATAAAGAGAGAGGCCAAAGTGAATGTAGGCCCTTTAGGGAACGAGGCTGGTGAAATAATGGGGAAATGAGGAAATGGCAGAGGAGTTGAATAAATACTTTGCATCAGTCGTCACAGCAGAAAACACCAACAGCATTCCAAAGTTGCTAAACAGTCAAAGGACAAAAGAAGGAGATGGATTAAATACAGTAGCTATAACTAGAGAAAAAGTACAAGGGAAACTAATGCGACTAAAGACTGAAAAGTGCCCTGGGGCTGATGAGATGCATCCTAGGATATTAAAAGAAGTAGTTACAAAATAGTGGATACACAGGTAGGTAGCTTCCAAGAGCTCTTTGATTCAGAAAAAGTGCCAGAGGATTGGAAAACTATGAATGTAACACCTTTATTTAAAAGGGGAAGGGGCAAAAATATGTAACCACAGGCCAGTTAGCTTAATGTCTGTTATTGGGAAAACGTTAAAATCTATTATAAAGAATGAAATGGCAGAGCATTAAGAAATACGTAATATGATCAAGCAAGTCCCATTCTCCAGCCCTATCTCTGTAGCCTTCTAAATTTATCACTTGTAAATATTTATCCAGCTCTATTTTGAAACCTCCTATGGAATTTGCCTCTCCCAGGCAATGCATTCCAAATCCTAATAACTCTCTGAGTAAAGAAGTTTCTCCTCATTTCGCTCCTAGCTCTTTTGCTGACAATCATCAAATTGTGACCCCTAGTTACTGACATACCAATTAATGGAACTCTACGGCTTTACCATCGTTTCTTTAAATAAGGTAACAGAACTGACCACAATACACCAAATGTAATCTGACCAAAGATTTGTAGAGGTGCATTATCGCTTCCTTGCTTTTGTATTCTATGCCTCTATTTATAAAACCAAGGATTCTTAATAACTGTTTCAACTTGTCTGGCCATCTTCAGAGAATTATGCACTTAAGCCCCAAAGGCTCTCTACTCACCAGAAGTTGTACCACTAAGCCTGTATTTTCTCTCCCTGTCTCTTCTTTCAAAATGCATTACCTCACATTTGTCTGTATTGACATTCATCTGCCAACTGTCTGTCTATTTACCAACTTGTCAATGTCCCTCTGAAGTCACTCAGCATCAGCCTCATAATTCACTACTTCTCCCTAGCTTAGTCTGCAAATTTAGATATTTTGCCCTCAATGCCCATCTCCAAATCGTTTATATAAATCAGAAAAAGCAGGGGTCCCAACCCTGATCCCTGGGGAACAGGAGTTTCAACTCATCTCCAGTTTGAGAAAGAAACATCCCACTATCTCTGCATCTATACCTACCCTCTGTTTCCTATCTTTTAGTGAACTTCTAATCCATGCTACTGAGGACCCATCAATCCCAAACATTTCTAATTTGCTAACTAAACTGTAATTTGGTACCATATCAAATGTTTTCTGAAAGTCCAAATGTACAACATCCACAGCATTACCTTCCACTGCCTGCATCACCTCATCAAAGAACGCAAATAAATTTGTCAGACATGACCTGCTTTGACAAAACGATGATGACTTTTCAAAACTAAGGTGAGGAGGAATTTCTTCTCTCATAGGGTAGTGAATCTATGGAATTCTTTACCTTAGATGACTGAGTCATTGAGTGCATTCCAAGCTGAGATGGGCAGACTTTTAATCAGAAAGGGAATTGAGGGTTATGGGGAAAAGGCAGGAAAGTGGAGTTGAGGGTTTAGATCAGTCAGTCTGGCCTCTGTCCAATTGAGGGAACTGGCATCAGGCAGAGGACTGGCCACTGAAAGCCCGACGTCATCCCCATTCCCTCCCCTTGCTCCCTGTGACCCTCACTTCATATATTCCATCCCATTTTCACTCACCTGTGGCCTGGATTCCCTCCAAAATCTTGGCCCTTTGTGTCCAGCAGCACTGATCTCTCTGGTGCAGAGGAGCATGAAGCATGAATAGCTTCCAGCCTTTGGTTAGCCATTGGCTTTCAGCAGCTGGGCCATCCATGACGAGAGACCTCAATTATGGCAACCCTGACAGTGGCAGAAGGCCATATGATTCCATCAGGGCTCATGCCACAGTGCTGACTGGAGATCGCTGCTCCATCCCCAACTGGCGTGACACCCTCAAGAGTCCAGTAAAATCACAGCCCATGAAGCTCAACACAAGTTGGAGAAACAACACCTCAACTTTCGTTGTAGCTCTCTGGTCTTATTATTAAATTCAACAACATCAGGCTTTAGTCACCATTGCCATTATTTTTGACAGTAAGCATCTGATGATATGGAATTGGGAGAGGGAGCAGATCAGTACATGGTTAGTTTGTTTTTCTCTTTCACTGAACTCCTGGAGTGTACCAGCTTTTTGTGCTTGACACTAAGCGGCTTTAACTAATCTTACATTCTCTAGGTCTTGTGAATAGCTTGTATTTTTCTGATGTCTGTCATCGAGCCTCTATTTTCCTTGTGCTATGATCACTATTGTCGTTTAACAATGATATGCTGTCCACTCAGTGACCTGACAGTTTCTTATATTTCTTTTCTTGTGCATGCTTCGCTTTTACCCTCTTGGTCTCACTCTCTCCCTTTAACTGTGACATTAAGTTCTGATGAAAGTGCTAATTTTTAGGTGAAACTCACTTCACCTGATGAAGGGGCTATGCTCCAAAAACTTGTGATTTCAAATAAACCTGTTGGACTATAACCTGGTGTCGTGTGATTTCTGACCTTATCCAACCCAGTCCAACACTGGAACCTCCACATCCAGAGGGCATATGGAAAACTTGTCTTTACATGCCGAAGCGTAGAGTTTAAGAGCAGGGAGGTGATACTGGAACTGAATGAAACTTTGATTGGGCCACAGCTGGAGTAGCATGGTAGTCCTGGAATCAACATTATAGGCTCAATGTGATAGCACTGGAGAGGTTGTAGAGGAGATTTACCACAATATTGTGTAGGCTGGGAAGGCTTAACTATGATGAGAGATTGGATAGACTGGGGCAAACGAAAACAGAAATTGCAAGACAAATTCAACAGGTCTGGCAGTATCTGCAGAGAGAAGACAGAGTTAGTGTTTAAAGTCCAGTGATCCTTCTTCAGAAGACTGGGGATAAACTGGGTTTGTTTCACTTGGAGCAGAGGAGTCTGAGGGGATGGGGGTACATGACTGAGATATATAAAATTATGAGGGGCATAAATAGGGTAGACAGGAAAGAATTTTTTCCCCTTGGTGGAGCGATCAATGACCAGGGGTCATTAATTTAAGGAAAAGGGCAGGAAGTTTAGAGGGGATGTCAGGAATTGTTTTTGCATCAAGAGGATGTTGGGAATGTGGAACTCACTCCCTGCAGAAGGGTGGTAGAGACAGAAAGGCTCATAATATTTAACAAGTATTTAGTTATGTTCATGTGCTGCCAAGTGCTGGAAAATGGGATTAGAATAGTTAGGCGGTTGTTTTTGACCAGCACACAGACTCAGTGGGCCAATGGGCCTTTTTCTCCGTAGCAGACTTCGATGATTCTATGTGTTCTCCCATGAGGGAAGCTCACAGAATCAGGTCCTAGCTTTTTCCAACAAACACACAATTCCAGAGGAGTGGATCAATATTGAGCAGGAGCAAAACTAACAAGCTTGCTGATGATTGTAGCAACTTCACTGAGATCTCAGCTGAAGTCAGCTAGCCCACTATTCATTGGGAATTAAAATTTCTTACCCAGATGATACATGTGGCATGTTTAATGAGACTTTGGATGAACCCATCATCAGTTTGCATGCTTTTTTAAATGACTGTCCAGTTAGGTAAGTTGAGATGCAGTATGCCTTTCAACTATTTGTTGTAACAGACTGAGAGAGGCTGCAGCAGTACTTTTTGGGCAAGCGAAAACTATCCTTCCTATAAAAATGATTCTCAGAGGTTATACTGCCATCATGTGGGTAAGGGAATATAGCACGGGCATGGATGTAACGCAGCATATAGACAGTTGGGGCTGGATTTTCATGTCGAAAATAGGAATTAGGAGACTGGACTAATCCCACAGCCCTGCTCCCATGCTCCTACCCCTGGCTCCTGTCTCTAAGATTGCCATGGGATGGGATTTTTAGGGGTTTCTGGCCCTAAAAACCTGTAAAAGGGCATACTGCCTCCACAGTGGCTAGTTTAAAGAACCCCCCTTCCTTTGGAAAAATCCCTTGAACCCATACTTGTGGTGAGTCATTTAAATAAAATTGAACCTTCTGACTACTTTAAAGTCCCCTCACCATATCCCTGCACCATTACCCTAACTCTCACCCCATCACTCTCATAACGCACCCCCTTTTACTCAGGCTACCCCACGATCCTGACCTCACCTCTTTTCCTCAGCCTTTTACTTATTATACACCTTAATAAAGGAATTCAGAAGACCTATTATAACATAACAATATGAACACAAAATACTGATCTGAAATGAAAACAGCAAATGCTGGAGAAAGTTGTCTTTGGTTGGCTCACCAAGCTGGTTCGTTGTTCCGCAGGCATTTCATTACCCTGCTGGGTAACATCATCAGTGCAGCCTCCGATGAAGCGCTGTTGTGTTTTCCCACCTGTTATTTAAACTCTGGCGTCCGTTGAGCTGGGTTACCTCACTTCCGGTCTTCTTTCGCAGTGTAGTATATATAGGGTCTAGCTCTATGTGTTTGTTGATGGACTTCTTAGTAAAGAATCAGGACTCTAGGAATTCCCGTGCTTGTCTCTGCTTGGCCTGTCGCAGGATCCTGGTGTTGTCCCAATCAAACTGGTGGTTTTCCTTATCCATGTGGATAGAGATGAGTGAGTATTGGTTGTGTCTTTTTGTTGCTAGTTGATGTTCGTGTACTATTGTGGCTAATTTTATTCCTGTCTGTCCAATGTAATGTTTGTCATAGTCTTTGCTGGAGAAACTCCATATATGAAAAGAGATATAGAGCTAACCTTTTAAGTTAAATATTACTTTTCTTTGGAACACCCCCATTCCAAGTGTTGTAAAATAGCAAATAAAACTCCCTGAATATAGAAACTGACTCTTCAACATTATGTGTAAACAAGGCAAGTGCTTGGATTATAGCCAAGAGCCCATAATACTCCAAGAGAGAACAAAAAGACCTCAGAATTGATATCGCATTATATTCCTAGACTGAATACAAAAACCAATGGAGAAAGATTTTAAAATTCCATACTTATTCTTATATAGGGCTATGAAGAGATGTCACTTAGACAAATTTGTTTTTAAAAGGGAACACTGGATTTTTCGCTGGATTTTTCAGGACAGGAATCAGGCCTCAACAATTGTAGGTCACAGAAGTAATAATTTGGCAAACACATGGTTCATCTTCCAAACATAGTGTTACGACATGGAGATAGATGGCTGAACAAATAAGCCTTTCTACCTCTGTATTCACAACACAGTGAAATGAAAACCTTCATAAACCCTAAACCATTGACTCCAGTGACTCATTACCAGACATTTTAAATAAGTAATCCCAAACTCTGTGAATAATGAATTTTAGATACCATATCTATAGTTTAAACAAAGGACTTAGCAATTTATTAGCAATTCAGTAGTTTTAGCAGAACAAAATTAAGTAACAACATAATTTAATTGGTGTCTATGATTTAAACTCAATAACTTAGTTTTTAGCACAATTCACACATCAGACAGATAGGCAAACAAACACAATTAAGTGATAACTGAAGGAAAATAACAAAACTGGTCAGATTACTGAAGCAGTATTAATGATGCATTGTTCCAGAGGCGTACACGTTCATTTCTTGGTTGATTTTCCGAAGGTGTCGATCAGGGCAACCCTTTTAGTTCACTCTGAGGAAATCAGTGATACTTACAAATTAGTTTTTATTTCCTGAAGTTTCAATAGCTGATAACGTGAGGTTAAACAGGAAGCTTTCAAATTTTCATGCTGTAGCATCAACAGCCAAACTCTTCCTCACCAAAAACACAGTCCAAAACCCAATTCAAAGTCTGGCCTCTCCCCATCAAGCTGACTGTCTCACCATGAGGTCACAGTTACCATTCAATTGCCGCTTGAGCATTAGGTCTCTCCCAGACTTGCTGGAACCAGTTCCTAGGTATTGACCTCATTAATGGCCAAACCTCTGTGACCTGGTTAAACATATAACTCTCCCCTGGTATTGGAGTCTGTAGAATCTTTCGATCAAAAAAACATCTGCAATTAACTTCCAGGTCTGGCCTCACCTGGGAAGTTGTTTGCTTTCTCTTTTTTTTAAACACAAACTACTGGCCACACTCCAAAGATTGTTTTCGACTTACAGTTCTCAGTTCGTTGCTCCAAACCAAAATTGAAAAAAGAAATAAAATAAAATAATTTAAAAATCAGCGAAGGATCTCACAACAGTCAGACCAAGGTCATTGATTTATGAAAATGGGTAGGACATTTAGAGGGGAGGTGAGGAATTTATTTTTCACCCAGGGAGGTGTTGGGAATCTGGAACTGTAAGGGTGGTAGAGGCAGAAACCTTCATAACATTTAAGAAGCATTTAGACGTGCACTTATGATGCCATGGCATACAAGACTAAGGGTCATAGAGCCAAATCCCTACAATTTGAGGGCAGGCCATTCAGCCCATCGAGTCCACACCGACCTG